GGAGATCCTGGATAGAGTGAGAGGGAAAACATGGAACAAAATCCAAAAACTCAGTAATGACCAGAATTACTGGTCAGATGAAATCTGGTGAGACTCCCAATACTATGGCCCTGAAATACATTAGGCACCTGGAATAAAACTCATCCCCAGGGGCAGGCTCTCAGCCCAATAGTTAACAAGATGTACATGCAGACCACTCAACCCAGGATGCTGCACCCACACACTCAATGGTAATTCATCCCTTAGAGCAATAGACCATGGGACACCAGAGGCCCAACATTCAAACTGAGGAAATGCAGGACAAACAGGAGTGCATAATTATGAGGGACCTAGGGAGAGGGTTGCAGGGTAGGGAGGGGAGGAGACTGGGTTAGGGTTGGACATGGCGAATGGGGAATGAAACTAAATGTACATGTGATGTTGAATGTAAAATGAGCTCTTAAAAAAAAAAAAAAAAAGATTAACAAGGAAGAAAAAAAAAACACAACTAACTCAAGATGGAACAAAGATCTCAATGTGAAACCTAAAAACATAAAGACCATCAAAGAAAGATATGAGCTAATTAGGTTCTATTTTGTTATATGTTATTTTATTTATATACATTAATATATGTTATTTTTATTTATTTTCAATGAGAATGTTTTAAGTTTATGTTTTAAATCACCTACATAACCATAAAAAAGCACATATGTATGTGTGTGTGTGTTGTATTTCCCTGGAATAGATTCCAACCCAGAGTAATTCTACAGGGGCAACAGGACACAGTAGAACTGTCTCACGGGTTTCTAAGGCTGTAAATCTTTACAGAAGCAGTCTGCCACCTCTTTCTCCCAAGGAGTGGCTGGTGGGTTTCAGCTGGTAACCTTTGGTGAGCATGTGCTTAACCACCTCACCACCACTGCTCTTTCCAACACCATAGCCTCCTTTTCACCTTCTATCTTCCCCCACCCCATCCTTGTCACCAGATTTCAGAAAATAATAATGATAATCCTCTACACTCTCAAGTTTTCATATATTTCCTTCATTTTCTTTCTTTCCTGAGTCTGCCCTCTACATACTGCTTTCACTTAGCAGAGGTGGTTTTCCAGTCAAGCCTTCCTTGTCACTGGGCCTGGGGATAAGATTTTGCTATCATTGCTTCTCATTATTACTTCCAGCTCTTATTCTCTCTCTAATCCCTGATAAGCCTTAGCTTTCAGTCTCAGTCATTCATCTTTGCCACAGTTTATTTCCTGTTCTTCTCACTTCATTCCTGGAAGGCAATGGTTCTGTGCTTACTATCAGTCTAACAAGATTCTCTGAGAATTCTTTTTTCTTTCTTTCTTTCTTTCATATTGTGATTTGCATGAAAGTTTACAGAGCAAATTCACTTTCTATACTGCAGTTCACACACACATTGTCTCATGACATTGACCACAATTTACTTCAATGTGACAGCTCGCCTCCCACTTCCTCCCGATAGTTACCTTTTCCCTGTGTCCATCCCTCCACGCACTCCTGCCCCCTGAACCATCTCCCTATGCATAAAAAGCCCCTCTTTCTACCATGATTGTTCTCTCCAAGGAGTGTATCTACCTCAGGTATATGTTCAACTC